GGCTTTCGTGCTTTGTATGTCAAGATTGTGGTTCTGGGCTGGTTTCTGAATCGTGGGTTTTGGTAAGGAACAAGCTGCAGACTCTGGCAACATTGGATTTCACTTGCGCCTGCACGTTGAACCCAATGGACGTGCCTTTGCTTCTTACCTTGCCACATGTATGTAGCTGAAGTCTCTCTGTTTGTGCTACATTGCAGCAGGAATTTCTAGCTGGTCGTTCCGCCGAGGTCTGTCCACGGCATCCCTGCCAGTGCTCTAAATGCAAGGCAAAGGGCAAGGGCGCAAGTTCCGGCGTGAGCGATGGTCCAGAGTGCCACTGGCGCTCAGAGCATCTCAAGTGGATTCAGAAGGAGCAACTGACCATCGACCCCGGTGTCGTGACCTACATCCAATGCCTGGAGATGGCCAATGTCAAGGACATTCCCAAATCTGCCCGGGCCCCTTGGTTTGTCTATGGAGCTCCTATCCTGTCCCGATGTGTCCCCAATGTTCACAGCCTTGTGTCCAAGGAACGTTCGGTTCTCAATTTGATTGCGCGCAAGATCATGAGCCAGGGCTGCGAGGCCATGGAGTTGAGCAAGGGCATCTTGGACTTGTCACAGTCTATCACGCGGGTGGCATTTCGACAAGACGGCCTGTGCCCAACATACTGCAGAAACGGGAAGATGTTTATCATGCGGTGCCTTGGCAGGACATGTGGCAGTGATCTTTGCCTCTCCAGCTTTTTCTTTAGAGAAACACTGTCAGGTATGGTAGAGACCTCCGTTTGCCGGAGGTGCTCGCGCTCTTTGGACACAGACCTGGCGAGTCTGATTGGTCGGCTCAAAGCACCAACACGGTGAACGGCAGCTTGCTTGTACCCAAAATTGGTTGGCAGTTTAAACTTCTACAGAAGTAGACGGTGCCACTCAACCACCCCATCAGCGCAAAGCCAGGTTTGCCTTGGTAAGTGTCACAAGACATAAGACAGAGTGTTTAATTGAAGCCCACCCCTGTTGGTACTCCAGTCTAAGGTCTCATTGGCAATTCCTGCCACGTGGCCGAGATTGGGACGCTTCTGTCCCTTGGCTTGTTCCTGAAGTCTGGCCTGCTCTGAAAGCTGCAGGCGGCATGTCTGTGCCTGTCTGAAAGGGGAGGCCAATGGCTCTGGCTGACTAAGTGGCACGTGAAACACTTCCCATATCAATTTTCAAGTACAGGCGTAGGCTTAGCGCGCGCCTCTGNNTCTGAACTTTGGATTTCTAGGCCTGCAAGGCAGCTGGAGGGCAAGCCTCAAATGCTGCAGGTTGCACGCCTGCCGGTCTTGAGAAGGGAGGCCAAGTGCTCCATAGATCTAGACCCGACGTAGCACTTATCTTGCACGGGGCTTCCCATCTCGAATTTTGTTCAGTGGCAGGGCAACAATCAAGTCCTGCAGTGTGCTCAAGTAAAGGACACAGGAGAACGGGGGAGGCCACAGGCTTTGGCAGATCGTACACTGAGACTAATGCTTTACGAATTCCGGTCAGCGTGCCAGGACTCCCCATGTCATCTTGGTCCTGTAGGACTCGAGCTAGGGGGAAGCTTACAGACAAAAAGCAAGCCTTCTGGCCTGGACTTGATCCATTGCTTCTACAGGGGTCTTTGCAGCCAACCATTGAGGCACAACGAATGTTCAACAGTCTCGGTTGAAATCAGTGGCTCCATGTTCCCTGCAGCTGCCACATCTCAAAAGCCTGTTCCGCTCCCTTAGCNNCTTAGCCCGCTCTGCTCCCTGGCACATTGCAATGGCCATGGTGAACTACCACTGGGAGAGTCTGCTGAACAAGTTGGACGACGTGGACAAAGAGTGGCTTTGCGAATACACTATGGAAGTGCACCTGGAATCGAAGCCCATGTGTCTTGATGGAAGTGGGAGCACTGCAATTCCAATATCAGTCTTTTTAATTTTGCGTGCACGGAAAAAAAACAAATATTGAGTCGTTTTTGCAAGAACTGCTGCTTTGAATGAAAATCAAGAACATTGGCGAAGAGGGCAGCTAAGAAGAAGCATCCAAAAACCAACAACATCCTTAACACAAACTCCCTGCAACAATATTTAATTGCCCTGCAGGCGGGAGCAGTGGCACTGGCACTATCACGAGTGCAAGCACTACGCCCAAATTGGGAATCGCGGTTCAAGGCTGCTGATGTACATGGTGGCAGGCCCAGTCCTTCGCACAGCGGGTATCAGCAGCCTCAAGTTGCTGGGTTGCTTTGGAAGGTTTGCAATCATCATGCAGTGTAAAACCCCATCTGTTTGCCTTTTTGTCGCCTGTTTTGAGCATTGGCATCCATCATAATTTGTCGCCTGTTTTGCCTAAGAAGGCCCTTGTCAGAATGTTGTATCTGTCGGCAGCGAGATTCTTGATTATCATCTTGCTGGTCTTGGTGAAAGTGTGTAGGCCGATATATTTTAATTGCTAGAGGACTGGTTTGAACCGCAGAATAATATTGTGCCAAGGACCACTGCAGATCTCTACGAAGCTTTGATGGCCAGAGGAGGCTGTAGCAGGCATGCGGCAATAAGAGATGAAATCCTCAAGTTGAACGAGTGTGCCGTCCATCTTCACCATCTGTTGCTGATTCGATGCCCCTTGGACCAAAGAATAAGCCCTTGAAGTGATACCCCTCACTGAAACAATTGTTTATTTTTGAGTATTGTGTGATGTCTTTGTTCAGGGGATATCGGCTATGTTGACTTTGGCCGCACTGACTTGTTGGAAGCCATCGATAGGCTGATTGAGCCCTGAGCAGCGAGCAATTTTGTGAGCAGCTGTGATTCGAAGATGTCTCCTGTCGCCTCTTCCCGATCATGTTGTAACTACATTAAAGCGGCCATTGTCGCCTGTTGGTCAAGTGCATTCTTATCGAATCGCAAGCCAGCTCTCTGCACGCTTTTAAACCTTTGCGGCCACTGAAGTGGTCGTCCATTGACATTTGATTTAAGATCTGATGTTTAATTCGACCAATGCTTTAAGAGATTCTACAAGTGATTGGCTTGACCGCCCAGCGAAGGCATTTTGGATATTCCCTGCCTCATGTTTAATCTACTTTAGTGACTTTAGTGAAATTCAGAACCTTGTGCATGCATTGGGTACTGCCCCCCCTTCGTAACAGCTGGAGAATCTTTATAATATGGTGATATAGAGCCCTTAATAGGACCCCTAGTATGGACTGTTACTGGCAGTACCCAATGCGTGCATTTATTCATGAGGCGGAGAGTCCCATTGTCACACTTGCAGGTTACTATGGCAAAGGGAACTGCTACGCGAAACAAGTGTAGTTCCTTGGGTCTTTTGTTTTTGTATTGCAACTAGCCAGCTGCTAACCATATGTATCTCATCTTGATGAAGACCTTTCTGACCCAAATACTGGGTGGCAGCTTGCATGCACTGTTGCTTTCTTCATAGTGCCGCTTCCCATGGCATTGTTCGTTCGCAAGCGAAATTCTGCGAAAGTTTCCGGACATGAATCTTGGCCCATTGGCTCTTTCGTTCCAAGGCGGAAACCTCCGGGTTTGGATCTGGCCGTGCAAGCTGAGTGACAAACGCGCATTTGGCCGCGAAGGTAGTTGTCTGAGTGTTCTTTGTTCCCAGGGGAAAGTCTCTTCTAGATTTCAACCAGGCCGACTAGGCAACAGCAATCTGTCATTAGCATACGTCCAGGCCCTGGTATCCAGGGCACCCTTGTGTGGTCGGCCGTTAAGGAAGTTTCTTTTATTTTTTTCTTTTGGGAGCATAGGCTTTGAATTTATTATGTTTTCGACGATGTAAGCTCCGTTTTTTCCGAACCAGCTCCTGCTCATCATTAATCATCATCAGGATATGACATGGTCGTCATAGGGAACCATCATCATCATCATCACCATCATCATCGTCATCATCATCATTCATCGCCATCATCATCATCATCATCAGCATCATCATCATCATCATCCTGACTCATCATCCTTCGTCATCAACCCTACACCCTTAAATCTGACAACCTAAACCCTCTGCCGAATCAACATCCATCCTTCAGTCATCAGCTTCGTAGCCTCAGCCAGCATCATCCCTTGTAAAGACTTGGCGGCACATTGACACTTTTTTTTGTGCTCTCCAGCCAAACTCGGGTCCACGGTGTGCTGCAGAAGACCTAGTCTAGGCAGGCTTAGGCGGCCTTCGTCATCGATTTCCCAGCAGCAAGCGGAGGACGTCGTCCGTTTTCTGTCGCGCGGCCGCGGCGCA